CCTGAGCCCCCCCCAGTGCCCCCAGTACAGCCCAGTGCCCCCAGTACAGCCCACTGTGTTCCTGTCCCAGGGTGCCGGGTGATCCCTCTTTGGGGGGGGGTTGGAAGGGATTTGAGGGGGGGCTGGGGGAGATTTGGGGGGATCTGGGGAGTTTGGATGGGGATTTGAGGGTTTTTGGGGGGGCTTAGGATGCATTTAGGAAAGTTAAAAGAAGTCTTAGGGGCACTGGGACATCAAATGGATGTGGGGGGAAGGGGATTAAAGGGAAAATGGAGATTAGGGGACATTTCGGGGGGTTAAAGGGGCCTGGGGGGGGGGGAGGAGGGACTGCACCAAGAACTGGTGAGTTCTGAGACCCCCCACAGTGTCCTCAAGACCCTCTTGGTGTCCCCAGTTCCCCCCTTGACACACCGAGAACCTCCTGGTGTCTCCAATGTCCCCAGGGCCTCCCCACAGTCCCAGTTCCACCTCCTGATACCCCCAATTCCACTGTCCCCAAACCCATCCCTGATGTCCCCAACCCTCCATCTCACCCCAGGAGCCCCCCCCAGACCCTCTGACCACAAAAAAATCCCCCCTCCCTGCCACGCTCACAGAAAGGCCAAGGGCATCTGGGGACACACTGGGGACAGTTGGGGGGTTTGGGGGGCACTGGGTGATTACTGGGGGATACTGGGACACACTGGGGGAACCAGGGGGCACTGGGAGGGACTGGGGGGGAACTGGGGCACACTGGGGGTCACTGTCAGAGATCTGGGGAGTTACTGGGGGATCACCAGGACACACTGGGAGACACTGGGAGGTTACTGGGCCATACTGGGAGTTACTGGGGGCTCACTGAAGGATCACTGGGCCATACTTGGGGGCAGTGGGAGGTCACTGGGACACACTGGGTGGTTACTGAGGGGGTTACTGGGCCGTACTGAGGGTCACTGGAAGGTCACTGGGCTATACTGGGGGCACTGGGATCCCCTTACCGGGATGTGGTACATCTTCCCCCCTGGATTTTGGGGGGCAACCCTAGGACCCCTCCCCTGGGGGCTGGGGGAACCCCTAAACCACACTGCTGGGCTTCAGGGGACCCCACAAAATCCCCTCAAAACCCCTGATATCCCCTCAGAAATCCACCCCTCCACCCGTCAAAACCTCCTCAAGGTCCCCTCAAATCCCCTCAGAGACCTCATCCACCCCCAGGATCCCCTAAACCCTCTCAGTGACTCGCAAAACCCATCTGGGACCCCCCAAGCCCATTCAGGGACCCCCAATCCCCCTCAGGGACCCTCAAAACGGTCGGGGATACCTTAAACTCCCAAAACTGCCTAAAAGGTCCCCGCAAAGCCCCCCAGGACCCTCAAACCTCCTCAGAGACCCCCAAAGCCCACCTGGGACACCCCAAATCTCCTCAGAAACCAAAACCCGCATCAGAGACCCCCAAACCCCTTCAGGGACCTTCAACCTCCCCCCTGAGTCCCCTCAGGACACCGAACCCCCGCAGGGACCCCTCAAAACCTCCTCGGGAACCCCTGAACTCCTCGGCTAAGCCCTCTCGAGCCCTCCAGCCTTTCCCCCCCCAGCCGCGCTCCCCGCACCCCCGAGGGGATCCCCAGAGCCCCGCTCTCGCCGC